TTTGTTTCAGGCATACCTCTATTTACAATGGGCCTTGTATTCTATTTTTATTGTTGTTGACAGGTTCTCGAAGATGACTTATTTTATAGCTTGCCTAAAGATTATGCATCTCGAGCAGCTCAACTTTACTTTAACAAGGTGGTTTATTTGTATGGCATTTCCAGGTCCATCACTTTGGATAGAGATGTCAAATTCATAAGTATTTTTTAAAAGAATTTTTGGGGAACGATGAGAAATCAATTGAAATTTAGCAATGCTTACTCCCCTCAAACATATAGACAAACATAAGTGGTCAATCGCAATCTCGACAGCTCACTGTAAAGCCTGGTTAAAGATAAGCCAAAGTAGTAGGATATGACATTGCCATATATAAAGTTTGCTTAAGTAAGTTCTTTTAAGATCATCTATGGATAGAATTCTTCTAGAGTACTGGAGCTAATTCATGTTCCTCATACTGGATGATTAAGCATTTAAGCTACTGATAAGACAAATTACTTGTATGGAATTCATTGTATGGAATTCATAAGCAGGTCAAGTAGAATATCAGTAACAACAATACCAAGTATAAGGTCTTGACTAATACTCATTGTAGAATAGTAGTCTTTGAGGTTGGTGATTTGGTATAGGCTGTCCTTACACGTTATAGGTTTGTAATGGGTGAGTATATCAAGTTGAAAGAAAGGAAGATAAGTCATTGTAAGGTGTTGCGGAAGATAAATGACAATGCTTACAAGATTTATCTTCCTCATCATATGAAGGCTTCTAATGTCTTTAATGTTCAGCACTTGACATCTTGTTTAAAGGAGGAACCATACTCGAGGATGAATTCTCTCCAATCCAGAAAAAATGATGTAGTTAGATTTGTGATAATGGATGGTTCTGAGTAATTAGATGTGAGTATACTATTACTAGATGAGCATCTACCCCATATAAATTATTTAAATGGTGTCGTAGATGCATTTATGGACTAGTGGGATAGGTTAATGCTAAAAAAAAAAAGGTCTAATTATACTAGACCAAAATAACAATTTGAAAATGCCATAACTTTTTACTTGATAACTGGATCACGCTCAAAGTTTTATAGGAGTTTTTAAAGGCTATTTTCTTTAGAGTAATGATTGCATTGTTACTCGAGCAGTCAAGTCTTTAGATATCAAAAATATCTTTGAGGCTTTCAGTTTTTGTAGTTTTAATGATTTTCCTTCTTATTTTTGGATTTCTTGCTTATTTTCAATTTTGTGCTTCTTTTTTTTGTAATTTTGGATTTTTTTTCTTGTTTTTTAGTTGAGATAGGATAGTAGGTTTTTGTCTATTTATGACTTTGTAATTCTTCTACGAAGACAGATTTTATAATCATTATTTTAAAGAAAATAAACTTGTAAATTTGAAGCTAACATTACAGTATCTCTTTTAGCTTATTAAAATATTCTATGTTTTTTGTTTAATTATTATTTTTAGCTTCTAATTGCATCACTCCACCTAAGGAATGATATTTTGGTCATCACAACTATCACATAATCATTTGCATTTTAAAGTGTTCCATGCCCTGTTTTCTGTATATAATCCTTAGCACATTAATATGATGTATCGTTTATAACATATTAATGAGCTCCGAGTAAAATTCCTTGGATGTGACAACTTGCTTCCATTGGATTTGGCAACAAGGTTTTATGATCAAGTTCAGATCAACAGACTCAACGACAAACACCTAGGGGAAATGATATCATACTCCTTTCAATGTTCCAATATACACACTCCCATATCCACCCTGTCTGATTTTCCGGCAATTCCATTGAAGTGACTTGTGGCCTCCTCTATCTCCTTCAAGCTATATATAACAGGTCTTTCTTTGCATCTACACGTAGCAATTCAGTTTCACATGAGCAATCACATCAGAAAGTAACACTTTTAGAGTAATGCAGCTAATGTGTATTAGATAATCCGTTGAAATTAATCAATTGTTTTTTTAAATCTGAGTTTATATTTGATGTAGATTAAAATTAATAAAACCATTCGTTAAGCTTCACCTGATGGCTTAAATTTATGAACTGAGTTGATTCTTTGACAATATTCAATAGCGAAACTAATTTTAGGGACTTCGACAAGGGAGCTGTAGTTGTTTAAGAACCAAGTTAGGAGTCTAACCTTTGTCTTTTATGTGAAAACGGCCCCATTTAGGGAAGTCCTAGAGGGACTTTGTCATTTTTCGACAGCTTATGTATCTTCTTTTCTGTTTTGATGGTTTCTGTTTATTCTGTGAAGGAACAGCAATGAACATACTGAAAACAAAATGAAAACTGACAGTGTACCAAGGATTATTGTCAAACAGTGCTTTTGTTCTGTTTGAACATGAAGAAACAGAGAAGTTACCTACCATTAAAAGATTATTCTTTCCAACAACTAACACCATTTATATTATGCAAGAAGAATTTGAATATCCGACATCAATTAAGCTTGGATTTCGAGCAAGTCTGTCAGTCCTGCAGATAGAAGCTCTACAAATATCCCAGTTAGGGTGTATTGTTTTCCTGAATTGTACATGTCACTATCTCTTCAGTCTCTACCTCTATGAATACGTAGAAGGTGTAGACTAATCACATCTCCAGCAATAAATAGCTGTTCCTGTCCTACAACCTCCCAAGCCTGCCGGCCCACTGTAGAGAATCCCCGAAACATTAGGATATATATATATATATGTCGCCAGATTGTACACTGTAGAGGGTATCAAAGAAGTAGCCTTGAGTGCCATTCACGTCCTTGCAAGTGCATGGAACTGATACGAGATAGCCTAAAGCTATGGACTTGGCTTATTTTTCATACCATATGACCCACCAGAATTTGCGTCTTTTCCAATTCTGGCTAGCATGCTTTGTCTCCATGTATATGGAACTAAACTAACAGATTATATGTATTCATTCCCCTACGCTAATTTCCTGTCAGCGGTAATATATAAATTTTGATGACTTCATTATGTTTCATGTGTCTTTGTTCTTTGAAGTATAAGCATTTTAATTTGTACAGACTTCTTTGTAATTAGGTTATTATTTTTATTTTTTAATATAAAGATATCCGGACCATTTTGCAAGCATCTTAACTAATTTTATAAATTTTAAAATTAATAATTATATAAATTTTTAATAACTTTTAAGGGATCGTAAACTTGTGATTATTAGAAAGTAAACTTGTGATTATTAGAAAAAAAAGTAAGAATTAACTAGTAAAGCTATCTTTATACTATTTTTACTATCTAATAATTACACTCATTATTAAATTATTATAGCATGTGTCATAACTCCATTGTTCTAACAATTAAATCAACTCAAGAAATGACTAAAATCATATTTCATTATTGAAAATCATTTTTAAGCTCTAGAGCGCCTGGTTTTTATGCTTGGTGTGTGATGAGATTTTGAGTTCTTGCACGAACAAGAGATAGCCCAGGAACAAGGGCCAGCTCAATAATGGCATTTCTATGCCTAATGTCTTTCTTTTTCTTGTTAGATTTTTATCGAAGTCCAAGTTAGTGACAGCTCAATTGTACGAATAAGCTATATTGTTAGCCATTAACATTGAGCTTGGAGGGGAGTGGGGGTGCCACCACCACAAATTACTGTAACTAGCTTGGCATTAGTTGTGGAATCAATCAATGGTTGAAGGGCTTCATTTTTTCAAGGCTTAGCCATAAAGGTAATGTGACTCTAATATCTTAGCTTAAATTATCTTTCTAGCAATAGTTTTTATGGTGAGATTCCCTCAGCTTTTGGGAATTTTATCTCATCTTGAATTTCTCGATTTGTCTTTGAATTGGTTTGGAGGTGTGACTTGTCTTTAAATTCCTGATAAATTATTTTGGGAGACTGCAGTTTTTCTCCCATAAACTGTCGCCTGATGCAATTTATTGTGATTTTTTCCTATTATTTTTGTAAGAGTTTGAAACTTGTTATGAAATGGGCTGCATGCTTCTCTATGGGACTACTGTAGATGGTTGTCTTCGTGGGGTTAAATACTGTCTTAATTTTATTTTTTTTGTTCTCTTCTCCGGTGTTAGCTTAACTATTATGGGTTTTATAGTTAGATTTGCGAGTGGTGTTTGTTAAGATTTAATGATTCTAATAACTTAATTTGAAGCCATTAAGCATAAATGACTTTAGTTTAGCCATTCATCTATATATTAAACTACTTTTTGGTGTTTGGTTTTACCGATCTATTAAACTTGAAAATTAGTCCATTTTTGGCAGAACTTGTTCGTCCTTACAAGTGACACCAAACAACAAGTCGATGGATAATATTTATTATTGAGAGTGCTGTTGTTAATAGTGTCGAACTTGTCATTATGCTCATGGAGGGATATTGTTGCCAACTGCTCTTCTAGCTTGTCTCTTTGCAGGTGTGAAGACATGTCTTCTTGCCCAAGGACTTATTTCTTGAATTCTCTTTAATAATTGGTCAGCTGGAAAGAAGAAAAACAACGTAAGAATATGATTATTAAAAAGATAAAAACAATTTAATTTATTATTTTAATATTTTAACTCTTAAAAGTGCTTTTAAACTTTCTTACAGTCATATGAAACCCTATATGGGTCGTTTGTAGTATAAATAAGAAAAATTAAGAAACTTATCTTTTATAATTAGAAGTTGAATGCTATTAATTTGATACAATTTACTATTAGCATAGGTATAATAAATCGAAAATTCCTCAAGTTATTTTAAGTTCATTGGTACATTAAAGTTATAATTAATAATTTTCTCAATTTTTTTAGTTAACACTCTTTAAAAAAGAATCATGAAATTCCTTGTTTTTGTTTTCATTCCATCCCTAATATGTTTGATTTTCATTTTCACTTTTCACTCCCATTCTCGTTTCATTCTTTCCCATCATTCATTTACAGAAGAAAAATAAAACTTAAATATAATAAAATTAAAAATTCAAATCAGAGAAACCCTCGCAATGAGGGTATAATTTATTTGAGAATAGAAAATGATACAACTAATATATATAGAAAACAAATAAACAAACAACACACAAGGAAAGCACATAACTAGCCACACAACAACTAAATTGACAATCAAGAAGATGGGTCAGGTGGTCTCCAAGCCGGCAAGAATCCTCATGTCCTGCTAACCTCTGGACCTGGACCACCCTTTGCCGCTTCTGTGGCCTTACCCTGAACAGTCTGGGCCGTCTCTCTACCTTTCTGGCCCACTTTTCCTGCTGTTTCCTCTGCCTTCCGTTTTGCCTGATCCATTGTTTGTGTTAACGGACCTCTGATCGAGCTATGCAAATAGTTGGCCATCCAAGAGAGTGACGAGAGTGCCGTGACCCCAAGAGCACCGGATGCTAAGAATCCCAACACGCCCAAGCCTATCACAAGGGCTGTAGGGACCAAAACTGGGCTAAAAATCACAAAAACGGGGGTGGTCAAAGCTAGCCCAATGAGTGTCCCTACAAGAGTGAGACCTGAAAGGAAGAGAAGGGAGCCACCAACAGATAACAAGGTTACAACTGCTAAGACCTGGGAAGTTGAAGGTCCCTTTCCTGGGAGGGTGCTCGCGAAGCCTTGGCCTCCAGGTCTTTGCTGATGCTGTTGTTGGCGAAAGTCAGCCATGGATCAATTTTCTTAAAAAAAAACGGCTTATTTAGAGAGCTGAGCTCTTGGATTAATATCACAGAGATGGCATGCAAAAATGGAGAGATAGAGAGGGAGGCAGGGACGGTGAGAGGAAGGAGAGCTATTTTTTAGGAGATGGAGGGAAAGACACGTAGTATAATGACGCGACACATGTTTGCAAGAACCTTGCATGTTGTGTGTGTCTTTTCTAGTGAGTGTTTGCAATGTTGCTGTGCTGTGTTCCGCCAGGTTGGAAATTGTTTTTCAAAAAATTACCAGGCCGTCTTGATGAATTTTTTTTTTTAAATTAAAAAATTTCAAAGTATAAATTAAAAAATCTATATAAACATCTAATTACTAGATATACAGGCTGTCTTGATTTATTTTTTAAATCAAAAAAATTCAAAGTCTAAATTAAAACCTACAAATGGAAAAAAGAAAAAAGAACCGAATCCCTGACAAAAAGATAAAATTAAAAAACAAAATTAATAATACAAAATGATCTAAAAGAATAATTAAAAGAATAAGGGTGAAAAAAATTAATTACAAGAAAAAAATTAATTACAAGACAAATAAAAATTTTCAATTGAAGGGTTAAATTGAATTGAAAAATAATTTTAACAAAATAATTATAGTTAAATTGAAAAAAAAAACAAAATAACATAAATGTTAATTGAAAGATGAGATTAAAAGCCAATAAAACTTGATTCGATCCAAGTAAGGTTAGATTTAGATTTTGACATCAAATCTCTTACTATCCAGTTTTTTACTATAAAACATAACTTTTGATTTTATCACTGAACCACTGAAATTTTTACAAGAGTTTCTATACACACTGTTATACATTGGGTGAAAACTTTAGGTAAATCTGAATTTGGTAATGGATTTTTCTATATGGTCAAAGTTATTGGACAAAATCATGTAAAATCTACATGTGTGAATCTTTATCTACTATTTGAACTATATATAAAGCTCTATAAAGAATTATTCTAAGATTTAAATTGGGTTGGAAAGTAGACATTTATAGCTTTATAGCGATGTATAATAGATCAACTAACTAATTCATCTGTAAGAGAGAAAATAATTTGTTTGAAGTCAAGACTGAAATCTGCGAGGAATTTACAAAAATTAGAGAAACATTGTTTTCTTTTGTATCATGAATTTCTTAATGTTCTTAGAGGCACATTAAATTACTTATTCTATAAGGATTCCATGTAAAATAAGGAGATATAACTATTATAAATAATTTGGAAGGATTCCATATCCATTATTGGATTTATGAGGTAACAAGGAGACTTGAGTTTTTTTTGTTGTTTTTTTCTTTATTTTATAGGGTTTTTTTTATTCAAAAATGAGATTATAAGAGGCTATTTAAATGAATGCATGCTTGAAGAGGAAACAAATTAGCAGCAGTTTCTCTTTTAAAATAAAAAAGTAAAAGGCAACAAGTTTTTTTTTTTCAAGGGTAATAGTGAAGGCAACAAAGCTTTTATATAAAAGCCTTGTTTCATATTTATTTAGTTTTTTTTCTTGTGCTTCTCTCATATAAACAAATTTTTTTTATTACCATGGGTTTTATTTTGTTATAACTTCTATTTGTGTTATTTAATAGGGTCAATAGCCTTACCGTTATTTCTAATGGGCTTAATTCATATTGAGCTTGGATTTTGATTAATTAGCTAAGACTCAAGGCTTGTTTAGGCTTATTTAATAACTAGTTTTTTAGTTATAGCCCAATGCTTGTTTGTGTCTATATATCCAAGTTTAATAGTATAGGTTCTGAGTTATTTTTGTAAGTTGACCAATTTAACTCACAAATATAGATCTACTAGGGTTTATTTTCAAGAGTATAAATGCTCTTTGAAAGGACAAAATATTAAGACAAGATAATATGATTGTTGTCGAATTTATTCAGCTTGTGTAAGAGAGATTCTTGAATTTATTCAACTTATGTAAGAGAGATTCTTGCATTCTTTGGTTCTTTAATAAACCAAATTGATTTATCGAAGATTAACTGGCTTTGTGACATCGTTCTCATACTTCTTGTTTGTGAATTGGTATTTATAGGGTAATGATTCTTATTCAGATAATGTTGGTGCTCTAAGATAGGTTTTCGTTGTGTTATTCATTAGACTTGTTTTGAATTTCTAAGATTTGTTATCATTCTTGATATGACTTGCATGATCACGTGATTATCAAGTTCGTATTAGTTAGTATCAGAGTTAGGCTCTGAAAGAAGGTCAAATACTTCTAAAATCTTGTTTTCTTTGTGTTTTATAAGTTTAGTTGTGTTAACTAATATTTAAGCCAAATTTGCATCAACAAAAACATGTTAACTAATATTTTTTTGGACCTAGTCAATCTATTTTTGTTATATTTGGGTTATTTAGGAGTCAAATAAATGTTTCCATTATTTTTTTCTTTTTTATTTTGAATCTTTGTACATCCATATTTTGTATGAATTCCTTTTGTTACTCGCGAAATCATAATCATAATTTTATTTTGCTTTTTATATCAAACTTTTGCCAAACTCACCCTTAATAAACATAATTTGGGCTGGCTAGGCCTAAAGCCCAAACTCGGCCAACTATTTTTTTTTTTGGGGGAGGCTAGATCAAGCCCAATCGGTATGGGCTGGACCTAACTAGATCAGCTCGATCACTAGTACAAGCTAGTGACCCGGCTAGTCTAAAGAGCAAGCGTTACAACCCCTATATAATTAAAATGCAAAAACTGGGAGAATGAAAGCTTACCTAGTTTGTAGAACCTTTCAATAAGAACTAAGCGGTATAGGGCAATATTTTCCTCTTTTGTATTCTTTGCTACTCTCTTTAAATGAGAACGAATCTTGCTTGATTTTTTTTCCACAGTACTTATGTAATTAAATTTTCTTTCGCTTTTGTTTGGCTTACCTAAGTCTCTCTCTCCTCTCCTTTCTTTCGATCTCCCTTTCTGCATACACTGAGATCTGTATTTATAGTGTAAGAGTCTCATCGTTTGTAAGAAATGAAGTTAAAATCAAACTCATTCTCTTTTTTGAAGTTTGATTTTGATTAAGAATTGAATTCAAAAATAGACAAGTATCGTTATCTTGAAGATAAGGATAGAATGGCAAACGCACATTGTAGTCTCTAATTTCCGTGCAAGCTGACAAATTACACTTTTCATCAAAATAAATCTTTGATCTTTTAATTTTTTTATTTTACCCCATAAAATAAAATTAAAAGCCAATGAGGCAAAATTGGGTTATAACAAGCATCAATCAAGATGATGTAAAAGTGTTTTTAATATTTCATATTATTTAAGGTTATTTTGGATACATGATTTTCTATAAGTCTAATATTTCATAATATTCAAGGTTATTTTAAGATACTTGATTTTCTATAGGTCTAGGCCTTTCTTTCTCATACCATTAATTAAGGATGGCATGGAGCAACCTTGAATTTTACTAGTTTTGTCACTCAAGCTATGTTAGGAGTAAAATTTCACTTATAATAAAAAAAATGAGTTAATGTTATGGATTTATTTAATTTTATTTTATCATGATTTTTTTTAAACAAAACAAAGCTACCCATACTTAATAAAATAAATTAGAAATATATATTGACATAACCAAAAGATTGATGTTTTCTCTTAAGTGCAGAAGTGTCAAAGTAAGAAATAATCTGGAAAGACCGGGGTTGAACTTGTATAAATTATAAATAACAACAATAACAACAATAATAGTAATACTAATAGTAATAGTAATAATAGAAGAAGAAGAAGAAGTTGATGAGAACTTTGAGATGGAGATTAATGTGAGGATTAAATAATGATAACAACAAATATCAAAGTTAGAGGATCCACTAATGGTATTTCAAAAAAGTATAATATAAACTCTTTTTATTACTTAACTGGAAATCACACACAAAGGAAATTTCAATCGAATTATAAATGGTTAACATGACTACATTAAATATCTTATTCGAATAATACTAATACTTGTAAATATTGTCAGACATTCATGATTATAACTTATGTTAATAACAAATTAAGTTCTTTTCATAGCACAAATGTCGGTTACACCATATGGTTGGGTTACGAAAGTGTCAAGTATTTATTGTATCAAGTGTTATACAATACAAATCTTGACTAACCATTTAATAAGCAAAGATAACAAATACAAAACATGTTAGTATCAAATATTAAGGTCCATGTTAAGTTTACACTATACTTATTCTTACACCATTAGTGTAACCTTTTCACCTTGACATAATAAACTTAACAAAACATAATAAAAGAAAGAAAAAAAATAAGAACATA